CTCTTTCCCAATAAATCCTGGTCAGAAACATCACACCCAAGAGGAGAGGCAGAAATAATCTCGCTGGGGACAAATAAACTCAGGCTGCCTGGAGATCAGAGACATACGTCTTAATGAGCATTGCTTCCTGAGTGGGAGCGGGATGAGCTAATTGTCTTCAGTGCCCTCTGGTTTCCCTGGCTCAGATTCACATCTGCTGGATTTAAGTGTCGTTACAAGTAATTTGAGTTAGATGGGCAGATCAGAGGAGGAAACGGGCTGTGTTGCTGATTAGCTAAAGGAATGGAGTAATTAAATTTGCCAATTTAAAGCCACTTTCCTTTCCTGTCCTTAGAAAATGCTGACCGTGCAGATTTTTGATGCTGAACTGTTTATTTTAATTTTGCAAGTGATGCTCTCCTCTGAGGCTTTGATAAGCTGCTTTTGAAAACGTGTGTTGAGAGAAGGGAAAGGAGGAAACGACCTTTGTGAGGGATAAGTTGGGTACCTTGCTTTCTCTGTTTACCCTTTGCACAGATGGGACATGGTATATTTTTCCTTAAAGAAAAGGGGAAAAAGAACCCCGACCCTGAAAACTAAACACCAGTTTTTAACAAGGGATGACAAATTTTCCAGTCTTGGAATATACATCACTTGGCAGAGAAACTGGGGGAAGAAAGATGGGTTGTGTAAATTGCACTTTTTCAAGCCTCTTGTGACTAGATTAGAGCTTTATATAGTCCCCTGTTTCCCCATAGAGGTAACAACTCTTTCACTAGATTGTGGGGGCTAATAAGGAGAATTTTCATCCAGGCTTTCATGCAGTACTTGCAGTTAAAGTTAATAAAATCGGACGGGTTATTTAAACATTAGGAGAGTAGTCAGAAGGTGCTTAATATTGTTGCTCTTCAAGGAAATGGAGAATTAATCACTGGATGTGATGGATGGATATAGAGGAGGCTTTGTGTATAAATCCCTTTAATTAGATTGCATCATTGGAGAGGTTATGAAGTTGGTGCTGGGGACAGCTGGTCCCCCTGATTACACCTCAGCTAACACTGAGTTAAGGAGGGATGGGGATACCTTCGCTCCCCATCCCTCCTTAACTCAGCAGGCAGGACAGAGATGCAGGCATGGCTTCCGCCGCAGGGTTGTGCATGGCAGGGCAGGCGACCCACCGCGTGCTGCTGGCGATCGCCGTGCTGATAGGAGCCTTCGCTGACGCACGTGGTGTTTGGAGTTTAAAGCCCAAATAATGGACACAAGAAACTTGGAAATCCAGAGGTGAGAACAGCAGGGCTGTATGTGCTGTATGTGTCAAGTGGGTAGTGACGGGCAGTTCCTGCCATCCAGTTTAATGTTGTCGTATGTCTGTTTAAGGCACAAAGTGATCGGGAGATGTGACCTCACAGAATGGCTCGGTTGGAAAAGCCCTCTGAGATCATCACGTCCAACCGTTCCTGTCTACCCACTAAACCATATCCCTAAGTACCTCATTTACCCGCTCTTTAAATACATCCAGGGATGGTGACTCCACCACCTCCCTGGGCAGCCTGTTCCAGCTTCTGACGACCCTCTCAGGAAAGAACTTCCTCCTTATCTCTAACCTGAACCTCCCTTGGCACAGCTTGGTGCCGTTTCCCCTTGTTCTATCCCCCATCACCTGGGAGAAGAGACCAGCACCCACCTCTCCACAAGCTCCCTTGAGGCAGTTGTAGGTGGTGATGAGGTCTCCCCTCAGCCTTCTCTTCTCCAGGCTAAACAAGCCCAGTTCCCTCAGCCGCTCCTCATCAGGCTTGTTCTCCAGAGCCCTCCCCATCCTTGTGGCTCTTCTCTGAACACGCTCCATCCACCTCATTAACATGTTTGCTGAATCTTTTAGCGATCGAGTGCTGCAGTTTATTATAGCAAAGGGAAAACGTGATGTAAAAGTCTCCTGGCCCTAAATTGAAGCTGTAATTAATGTGCAAGTCCAGTTCAGTTAATTCCATATTAATTTCTTTTTGTCTCAGTGATTCCTCTTTGCACTCCCCCTCCCGCCCCTGTGTTAATGCAGAATACTGGTTGCAGAAACTCCTTACTCTTGAAGCATCTTCAAGAAATATGAAAAGCTGACTGCAGCGGATGAGGTTAAAGGGGGATGAGCCTCACCAGTGTCCCACATCCTGCTGCCAGATTCGGGTGGGGAAGAGTCATCTCCAGAACAAAAAAAGGGGCTGTTTTAATTGATCATTTAAGATGACAGCCTAAGCACTAGTTACAGCCTAGAGGATTCCCTGGAAATCCCAGCAAACACCAACGTTCCTGTAGGTGGTATGTATTTGAAAGTAGTAGAGCAAGATAAATTCTCATATATTAGCTTAATTTGGAAAAAAATGTGGCACTGTGTTACAGCTTTAAATGATGATGGGTTACAGAGCCCAAAATGGAAATGTACTGAAATTCTTTGGTGGGATGGAGCATGATTTTGCTGTGATGGGTGGCTGTGAAATGATGCTTTTGCAGACTTCTCACTGAATAAACCATGACAACGTAGACTAAATGCAATGAAAAATAAGGTACCACGCTGTCACGGGTGCATCTCAGCTGGTGAGCTCCAGCTCATCTGTTATCTCCATGGCATAAACGGGCTGAGACAGAGTTGGGGATGGTTTGTTTGAATCTGCACAGTGAGGCGGGCCTGAGTCTGGAAGAGAATTACCCAAAGTTCAGGTCTGCTCCTCACCCACCGGCTGCTTCACAAAGCGTGGAGAGTGCTCTGCAGCGCTGGAGGAACGTCCTCTGGCCAAATTGGTGTTAAATTGTGTGGAGCAGGCTAGAGCTCTTGCTGCAGCGTCATTTTCTGTTAATCATCATTAGAAATATCAGATGATGTCTTTCTTTTCTGCTTTTTCTATCTGTAAATTGAATAAGTTTTGTTCAAGAAACATCTTCTACTCCCAGCCTCTTTGTCTAGACCTATGGTAAAAGGAGAGCTGTGAAGCTCATAGCCGGAGGTTCCCAAGAGCTGCATTTTCTTCTTAAAATTGCGAGAGTGATGGAAAATTTCTTTTGCGTAGAATCATTCTGAACTCGTGCAGCTTTTTTATTGAGCTTTTGTGTCTTGGTTAACTAATCTTGGTTTTGTTTTGTTGTTTGATTTTTTTTTTTTACATAGCTCCCCAGAGGAATTTTGAAATTGCCTTTAAGATGTTTGATCTGAATGGTGATGGCGAGGTGGACATGGAAGAGTTTGAGCAGGCAAGTTGAACAACGGGTTGACTTCTTAATGCTACAGCATCTTAGTCATACTAAGTCATACACTCCTCTTATCACAGGTGTGATTATTGCTGGTTTGCATCTTTTTCTTCCATTCTCTGCTGTGTTGCCTCAGTGCTTGTGTGCCTTTTATTTTTTTAACTGGGTATTTCAAGACATAATTATTCATTCAACCAGGACAGCTGTAAGTGCAAACTCTGATTTCCTGTGGTGTTGTCACTAAGGCAGCTTTACAACATGTCACCTCCAAAGTAGGTAAATCATTTTTTTCACTGATGTCCTCGGATTTTGATCCTACTTTCTCCCACAGCTTTTATTGCATTTCTTAATTTTGTTTGTCTTCAGAGAACAACCCGTTGAATCTATTTCAAAGAAGAATTTAGCCATTTATTTCAATGTAATCCAAAACTGTGTTTGTTAAGAGTGTATTTTCAATAGTTTCTTTCCCCTGCTTCTTGCAAGGTTTCATCAGCAGAGAGCTTGATGCAGACTTTTTAATGAGCGTAGCCTGCATGTCTGATACCTGTGTGGTCCTCCTACAAGCTATGGCTTGTGGTTGTGTTAGAGTGAGAATAGAATGAAGACTTGAGCTGTCAGTGGGGACAGCTTTTCTTGCCTATGTAGAAAACAGCTTTAAGGCTTTGGAAACTCATAAACTTCTTGAGGTCACTGTATATCAGCAAAGCTCCGTGTGTGTGGTACTCCGTGAAGGGAAAAGTAAATGCATTTGCAAAGAAGAAAACTGGCCCGTTGGGTGAGGAGTCACCACCTCTGTTACCAAAGAACGAGGCAGAGGAGGTACACCACTAATTATCTGATGTTTATGTGGCCCCTGGCACAACTTTTGTGACCCCCATCACTGGGGACTGTGTGTTTAATGGGCAAGTGGAAGCTACTGCTTCTGGGCAAAGGAAATGCGAGAGAATGGTTAAAAAAAATAACCTGCCCTTGTGGGGTTTTGTAATGCTGGAGGACAGCTGTACTTGGAGAAGGTGAAACGCTGTGTACGGATGTTCGAGAATAAAGCAGCCCTGGATAATCTAGTTATAAGTTCTTACTCACCAGTTGATTGAATGACTGGTTAACTTCAGAGCAGTAAGAGGTCATGCTTGGGGTACTTGCTATAAATGGGAAGAACTAGTGGGAAAGCAGGTCCCTTAAATTAATTCCCCCTCTTTGCTGTCATCCTCTTTAAATTATTACCTGTGGGTACGATGTCATTATTATGAGTTTGCTTCAGAGCTGTGTGATATATCTGGTTAACTGTTCATTTTTATATGCAAACTTTGGACTATGGGAGGAGTATGGCAGTATGTTTCTCTCCAGTATGATATCACTTCACGTGACAGCTTGTAATGTAAAGCCAGTTTTTCATTTCCCTTCGAGTACAAATTTGAATGCACAAATGTCTCCGGGCTGTTGTGCTGTTTGGCACTGCCTCCCTACAGACTGCTGATTTAGCTATGAAAAATCCCAAGTTTCCTATTTCCCAAGTAAAAAATCCTGCTCTTTCTGCTCTTTGCTTAGTGCATGAATATAGCACTCCACTGCAGCTATCTGATAATATTCCATTCAAAAGGTGTTTTGCAGTAGTGACTTATGTTCTAGAGTGAAATGAATCATGGAGACGAATTTATGAGAAGTGGAGAACAGTTAACCACCTACTAAAAATGCAGCGGCGCCAAGGTACTAACGCGACTGTCATGTTTGGCTTTTTTATTAGACACGTAAAGTAAGAAAGAATGTTTCCTGAGGACGAATGTTTCAGAAGTGCTATAAGTACAAAATGGAATCAAATTATTTCAAATCATCTGGTGGGCAAAGGGAAGTTATATGTGCATTAAGTCAGATAAAAATCCTTAGGATGAGGGACATAATTTTGTTAAGCTTGTTATATGCGTCACTGCCTCTATATGAAGGAATAAAATTCCTGGTTAGCATCAGAATATTGTGGTGAAGACTGATCTCCCAGAGCTCTTGAGTCAGAGGATGAAGGAGCTGTTCTGGAAAGTGAGAAGAAGCTTACAGTGTCTGCAGATACCACGGTAACTGATTTGCTGCACTTCACAAACAGAATTAAAGCAAAGACAGAGCTTCAGCATGAGGCACATATATAACATAAACGTATGTACTGTAACACACACAACCATTTATAAGATAAATACTCGTTTTCACTCCTTATGGAAATGCCTCAGTAAGAGCATGAAGGATGGCAAGGCTTGCAGGCCTCTACCATAAGCATCTTACCTGGCAGGAGCAGCTGGAACTGGGCCCTTCCAGGGGATTATGCTACTGGAGGTGGCATCAGTTTAAGAAAACAACATTGTTTTGGGGAGAATGGGTAGAGGAAGAAGGGAAAGAAAAGGATCAGTCACCAGCTTCGTACAATCCCTGTTGGCTGTGAGCATGTGGGAATGAGTTTCTTATTCCTTTTTCACACATCCTCTTTGGAGACAGCCAACAGCAGGTTCCTCTTCTCATTAATGTCTGAAAAACCTTGAGAGTATTCATCAAGAAAGAAAATTACTTGCAGTAATTTAGCTAATATGTGAGTAAGTCAGAGGTTTTAACTACCTAATACGAAAATATTGAATTTCTTCAGGCCTCACTGAAGAGCCTCACATTTTTCTTCCAGTTGGTGCCTATGGTTCGTGCATGGGGCTTAACAGTTTGGTGCCTGCGTCGGTATAATCTTCAACTTTTCATCCTTCAGCATGGAAGTTATTAGTTTACTCTTCTTTTTTTAATTAAAAAGCCTGATGAATAATAGTAAACTCTCAAGCAGTGTTACTAATGATTTCTCTTGAAACCATTAACTGTTTTCATTGCTTTTTTTGTCTTTCTCTTGTCCGGTGCAAAAGATGAAACACATCACAAACACTTAGACTGAAATATCTACAAAAGACAAGTGAAGCATCTCTGTGCTTCACATCCTCGTGCAATCAATGAGCTGTGGGGGAGTACAGCACTGGTTGGGCTGGAGGACAACTTCTTGCAGCAGTTGCCTGCCTTTCTGGGTATTAGAAGGACTGCCCAAAATAAGGACTAGACGAGTAATTTTGGCTCCAGTGCTCACAGATGGATTTTCAAACTGTCTGCTACTTGTTATAGATGGGAAGAGAAGAGGGGTGTAGGATGCTTTATAAATAACACCCGGGGAAAGATGCTCTATCAAACAGCCTGCAGTGTGGTAAACACTGGCTTCTGCAGAAACAGGGGCAGTTTTCCAAGCTGGTCATAAACTGCATTGCTTCAGACAGTTTATAAATATTTGTCTCCAGAATGTGCACTCACAGCTCACAGTCACAGTGGAGCACAAAGCAAAATTAGGAGCTGCTATTTGCAGTGCAAAAATCCTTCCTTACATCACAGTGCATATTAAAAAAAAAAAAAGCCCCAAAACCTTTTTTCTGTAGTGGTTTTTTTTCCTTTGACTCGTCTTGGTTTTCCTTGTAGTGGAAGAACAGCCACCATTCTATGGTTCAGAGGCAGCGTTTCAAGTGAGGTGAGCCCAGCAGTGATACGCAGCGTTCTCCTCCAGAGCATCCCCTTGGAGGTTGTTCCAGCACTTGCTCTCTTGTTAGGGAAAAAATTGAATATGCCATATACCACGATAACGAGGTTCTGGCGTCCTTTTGGCAGCTGGAGCTCTTGGCAGCTGTTTTTCTTCCTCCCTTCCAACTTTTGTCGGCAGGAGGAAGTAGCTGAAGGCAAAGCAGTGGTGTTTGCCAGAGCTTCGGTAAGCCTTAAATTAGCACAGGACCCTTAAAACATCAAACGGTTGGGTTTTTTGAGGCTGTCACATCCTTCAAGTTCAACCTTTTGCCATATTGTAGGAAGTAGGGAAGTTGTCCTGCAGGTCCTTGCCATGTCCCGTAGCATCCACTTGAGTTGAGTGGTGCCTTTGAGAAGGTATAGGGTGCTGCTGGGAGCTCAGGGGAGGAGACTGGCTGCATTGTTAGGTTAAAAACATTGAGATATTGCAGTTATAATGTGTTCTTTCATGCTTGGCTGTCTCTGTGCAAATATCTTGGTCTGCTGGTAACTCAGGTACTCCTGCATCACTTGTAATTCTGCTGGGGTTGTATTTGGGCTCATGCAGCCTGCGGGACCTTTGGAGATCCCTTTGCTCTGGGTGGATCAGCCCCTGCCTGCAGCTCAGCTTGCCACACAGCCCCAGGGATGGAGCAGCTTCCAGCCGCGACAGAGAGCAGCAGGCAGCAAGGGGAGGATGCACAAGGGTAGAATAAATGTGATGTGAGCAAACTGGGGTTGGTGTGAACTGGGCTGCGCAGTAAGGTAGGAGTGGAAGCTCCAAAATGTGTACAGTCTTTTTTCTTCCAAGCGGTTGCCTTGGCTTTCTCTCCTCCAGCAGCTTCGCTGGGAACAAGCTGCTCTCTGCTGACCAGGCATAGGATCAGCGCCTGAAGTGCTTACCTACAAACTGGGCGAATTGTTTTTTAAAAACAATTTCTTAAAAACGCTCATTTTAAGCATTTTCTATTTTTCCTTCTTTTAAAAGAGGATTTGAAAAAACCAAGCCTAAGTTTAGCCACGTTTTTGAATTGTCATGTCCTTTGAGAATTATTTCAGGCAAAAATAAATGAGGATGACATGTCTGAGCCTGGAGTACTTCGTACTGGTACCTACAAGTATAAGTCCCAGTGGTGGTTTTGATGCTAACATCCTCTCTATTTTTAGGTCCAGAGCATCATTCGCTCTCAAACCAGCATGGGCATGCGCCACAGAGACCGGTCTACAACGGGGAACACCTTGAAAACTGGCTTCAACTCTGCACTGACGACGTACTTCTTTGGGGCAGATCTGAAGGGGAAGCTGACCATCTCCCACTTCCTCGACTTCCAGCGCAAACTGCAGCACGATATTCTGAAGCTTGAGGTTTGTGTTACGTTTTAACGTATGTTGGAGAGGGCAGTGCAGCGTGGACAGTGCCGCACGATGTGGTTTCTGGAGGAAAAGCAGTGGTTTCTGTTAAGTGACCTCCATTATTCAGTCCTGGGATAACGTGCATTATAAGAAATGTCCATATATTCTGAGACTCGGCCTTCAACTGAATTGAAGGTGTCATTTTTCTTTTGTGTTACCAAGAGTTAACAGCCTTATAGCCTTACAGTTGGAATTTAAGCATCAAGCTTCAAAATGTGGTTCTTTCAACAAAGCGAGTGCAAGAATAGCAATGGGGGACTTCTTGGTCTGTGTCTCTGCTCCCAGGTGGAGCTGACTCAAAACCAGTGCCCTTCTTTGGAGCAGGATCAAGGGTTTGACCTGGCTTGAGCAAAGCCAGGCTTTTGTTAGCATCAGAAATGAGGATTTTGTGCACAAGAAGAATCCTCCACAACCTGTGAAGAGTACAGTATTCAGAGCTCACTACTGCGTCAGTCTGATGTACGAACGTCCACGTGCTCAGGCTGTGTGATCCAGCTAGCAGACAGCATTTTATTAAGTTCCTGTTAAGTCAGTCATTGCAAACTTAACCTGAATTTATTCCCCTTTTTATTTGGAGTTTTATGAATCTAAGTAAGAAACTGACACAAGAACTAATTACTATTTTTTTTTAATGAAGGTAATTGTCCCGTTTGACTACATTTAACCGCTCATTAGAGCGGGTGGTGTGGCTCCACATTTGTGGGGGAATAGGTTGGTTGAAGAAAACGTTCTGTGTGAACTGGAAAGTGTTGGTTTCTCAGCGACTCTACACACTGAAAGTGAATGCAGTACTGTTTAAGGTTAAGAAACACAAGCTGAAACTCGTATGCAAAGGGAAGACAAACAGATCATTGTATCCTCATTTGCTGTCCTGCTCTGGTTTCCCACTGCCACGTTTGCTCCTGGGATGGACAATGAGGAGGCACTGTTAGTCCTGACCCTGTGCTGGAGTCCTGTGCTCCCTCCTTGGGTCCTCACTCACCTCATTAAGAAGCGATACGGTTTTTTCCGTTTCATGGTACTTGATCTTCTTTTCCTTCTGCAACAGTTCAGTATTAATTTAGCTTTTACGCATTTCAGTCAATTGTACGTCTTTGTGGTGAATGTTACTTGCCTGTCTAACAAGTTATTAACTGGGGACAGTACGAGATATTTATGTCTTGATAAGTTAATGAATATCATAAACACATCATTACTGAGTTCCTGACAGCACCCTTGAGCACTGTGCCATGGTGTGCTTAGCATTTTTTTAGCTCATTTTAACTGGAAAATTGACCCATGCAAAGGTAACAGTTCTGTTCTGCCAAACTTAATTTTTTCCTGAGTTCATGATGCTGAAGCACCTGACCTTTCTGCTCACAGTTCTCATCAATGTAGGCAATACAGGCCTATTTCTGTCCTCGGCATTATGCAACGTGGCCTCTCTCCTCTTCTGTTTTATCTCTTTTGACATCATCTCCCGCTTTCTCTCCTTGCTTCACATTTGATGTGCTTGTTCACGGTTAAGTGGCTTTTCACACAAGTGCCCAGTGGGTTTGCATTGCTCCTTTTCCAAGGAGTGCGCTAATGAACTAAGCCACTTAAAAACTGCGGTAATTCAGGGAAGAGACATCCCTCAAGTTTTTACCTTGACCCATGCAAACTAGGAGAATCACAGAATCGCTGGGTTGGAAAAGCCCTCTGAGATCATCACGTCCAACCGTTCCTGTCTACCCACTAAACCATATCCTTAAGTACCTCGTCTACCCGCTCCTTAAACACATCCAGGGATGGTGACTCCACCACCTCCCTGGGCAGCCTGGTCCAGCTTCTGACGACCCTCTCAGTAAAGAACTTCCTCCTTAGCTCTAACCTGAACCTCCCTTGGCACAGCTTGGTGCCGTTTCCCCTTGTTCTATCCCCCATCACCTGGGAGAAGAGACCAGCCCCCACCTCTCCACAACCTCCCTTGAGGCAGTTGTAGGTGGTGATGAGGTCTCCCCTCAGCCTTCTCTTCTCCAGGCTAAACAAGCCCAGTTCCCTCAGCCGCTCCTCATCAGGCTTGTTCTCCAGAGCCCTCCCCATCCTTGTGGCTCTTCTCTGAACACGCTCCAGAATCTCCACATCCTTCTTCTAGTGAGGGGCCCAGAACTGAACACAGCACTCGAGGTGCAGCCTCACCAGTGCCAAGTACAGGGGGATGATCCCCTCCCTGGACCTGCTGGTCACACTGTTTTTAATACAGAACGTGACAAGTGGCGCAAGGAAATATTGTACTACAGAGCATCAGGTAACTCACGTAGCTGATCTTTAAGTTTCCCTTGTTGTGTGTGTGTGTATCTGGGTGATGAGCCTGGGAGCAGAGCGATCCTTCATCAGCCTTGTGCTCGCCTGCCCATGCAGAAGATCTCTGGATCCTTCTCTTGGTGTGGCTGGTGTTACCGGTGGACAAGAAGGAGCAGAAAAGAGCTAGTAGCAGATCTGCCAGGGGCTCAGCTGAACTCTTGTATCCTCATCTACTCATCCTTTGCTGGCTTAGCAAAATTAGTACGTGGTCTGAAACTGGGATGTTAATTTGAAAATCAGGTTTTGTTCCTGTTCAGTGTCTGAACTCCAGAAAAACCTTTGGGGAAATGCACCATTTGATGGTCTGAAGGATATCTCCTGGGGCTGGTGCAGCCCCCAGGTGACATGGTGCCTCTGTTCTCAAACTGGAATGCCTCTTTTTCTCTTTCAGAAGAAATCTACTTTAAATAAGACCTTTTTAAAAGCTGTTTTTCTGTTGGCTCAGGATCCAGGCTTATCTGCAGTTAATACACTTGAGAGATGGTTTCTTCTGCTAACTGCAAAGATGGAACTATAATTTCTGACCATCTGAACCCATTTTCCTCTTACTGATTTTAGTGCCTTTTTTTTCTTAGCAAAATATTCATGCATATTTCTTGTTAAGATCGAGCAGAAACTTTCTGAGAGGCATTAGATCAGACAAAGCCCTGAACGTTTCAATATGCCTTATGGCTGAAGTGCTGACAGCATGTTTAAGTAACAGTGGCCGGCGTTTTCTTCTTCCCTTCTGCTTATTTTTTCATAAAAGTAAATTTTTCATCATTTTATGGAAACTTGGCAATCAACTCAGTTGCAGGAGGGAAAGGATAAGAAAAGTAACCGCAGCCAAAGGGAGAGAAGAGGCTTTTGATAGCTTATTACAGATTTTTGTAGTTTGACTACTTTGAGGAAGCCATGGCCTCCTTGTTGTGTTGCAAGGTGGCCTGGCTTAGCTAAGGCTGAATCACAGGAACCAACCCACCAAATAGCTCTGGCTCCGGGCAAAGTCCTCCCCATTTTCTTACTGCATTCATGCTGCCATGCATAGTGCCTGTGGAAAGACTTCTTTTCTTCTTGTCACTTACAACAAGCAGTGACAAGTTAGTGTGGACAGGCTCTGCAGCTATAACATGTCCTGTTAGGATAGGTGGTATTTGGCTTGAATGGTGCTTTTCTTTTTTCAGTGAAAATACTCTGTGAGTTAGGAAGATGAATAGGACTTGACATCATCGTTTATGCTATTTCTGCTTGTTAGTGGCTGTCCTAGATATTCCTGTGTACTTGATGGACCAAGAGAAGTCCCAGCCAGCCTGTGGGTCTCTTCCAGCCTAAATTTTTCTGTGATTCTGTAAGTGCACGTAGAAAAGATGTGTTAGCCTTTTGTTCTCCACATCTGCGTCACCCCTGAAAGGCAACCCTAAACCTGCTAACAGCAGTGATTTAATCTCCATACTTAGCCTTGTTTTATCTCCCCAGGCCTCTTTCTGCCAGCAGTGGGATATGCGCCTGTGGCGTGAGACCTCAGGAGAGAATTCTTTTTTCCAAATTGCCTGCAGTGAGATTTCCATAGCTCATTGTTTCCCTGACAGTTACTCATGGAGGGCATTTGTTTTCAGCTGAACTGGTGAAGCAGGTACTAATGCAGCCCTACGCCTTGTAGATGTGGGGCTGTCTTCCTGGCAGGAGATGCCACGTCTGGAGAGGGGAGGTTGTGGCTTTGAGCAACCTCATGTCTCAGTCTGGTATGAACTGGGGTCTACGCTTCAAGGTAGTGGGATGCAGCTTCCCATGGGGGAGTTTGCCAGATAGGTTGAAGAGTCAGATCCTCGTGCAGATGTGTATCCTTGTGCTTAAACATAGGGATGTTTGCAGAGCGTTGTTTACCCAAGGGTCAAGGATGCCCCAATAGCAATCCCTCCCAAGCAAAAGGTCTTCCAGGTCCTGGAGCAAACGAATGTAAAATGGGATTCTGTGAGAATGTGGCAAAGGTAGCACACGTCATTGCTGCCATCTGGAAAATCACTTCTTTTATGTGTCTGTTCTGTGACAGGTGATGTGAGAGTGACTTCTTTAACCTGTAAACTCCTGTTTCCATGACTAATGCTGATACAATTGCTGCTTGGTTTGGTTTTTTATGAAGAAGGGATGATGGATGCTCTTCCATCTGCACAGATCTCATTAGAAAGTCCTAGATCTTTTTGGATCTCAACCCTGTCTGGTTTCAGAAGGCATTTCTAATGCTTCACAATCTGGTTTTAGAGTAATAACTGAAGTCCATAGGTGCCTTTCTGTTCCAACTCCCAGTGCTGGGGTAGTTGGTATCTGAGTAATCCTGTGCCAGGTATTAAAAACGACTGTGTTTTTACCAGCTTACTCAAGATTTTTTGAGTTCTGCCTTATTTTTATGTGGCCTTGCAGATTGCTACAGAATGTTGGTGATTTGTTAGCATAGGCAACCAAGTTTGCAGTAATGAGTCGTGTCTCTTCATACCTGTTGCAGTGATTTAGGTGAAAGAAAAGAGAAGTTGGATTTGTTTTGACCAGCCTGAAAAAACAAGTCTGGCAGTGTCAGATGGGCTAAGCTTTTTAGGGAAGGACCCAAAAGTCAAGACTTTTTTGGAGGTCAGTTTGCTACTGAACTTACAGGA